AAAAAAAAAAAAAAGGAAGTGTCTCAGCTTACTGTTTAGTCAATATTTGTTATTGACTAATAAGTCCAGTCGCTCTCTGCAGAAGCTCAAGATATAAATAATAAATAAGGCAATGCTTGCATCTGCAAACTGAAATCACAGTAACAAACATTACAGCACTATACACATCACATATCCATGTCATCTAATTCCTACGCTTCTTTCACAGAAGATTTTTTTTCTAGTTTCTTCATTTAAACAGAATGAATTTCTCAGATTCTAGTCAATAGCACTGCAACAGGATTGAGAATAGGCCATACATTTGTATTTTCTCCTGTGAGCTACTACTTCATAAAACTAGATCTTACAGAAAAGGTTTAGACATTAATACCAAATGAGGATAACATTTCTGAATCGCTTTACATGAATGTCAGATTTCCCCTAAAACTGGAGTTTCCAGAGCTTGAACATGAGAAAATGGGTGTGCAATCAAATTTACATACCAGAAAACTGATGGCTACAGTAACAAGTATATTAAATTAGTACACTGGGCAAAGGTTCTCGTATAGTTACAGTCATTTGACCTTTAGCCAGCTCTTAACGCCCTAGCCAACCCTCTAAAGATGGAGATTTGCAGCAGCTTCTTGTCTGAAATAAGCCATGAAAAGATTCTTCTGAACCCACTATATAAGCATTCATTTAAAATGTCATGAATGTGCATGAAATCAGAGTGCTTCTAACAGCTTACTTCGCAGCTTCTGTTTAAATGCACTAACTCTGAACCACTAGAGGATAAAAGGACTCAGACCTTCCAGTCTGGCACTCATGGCCCTAAAATACACACAAGTACCTCTTCACAGGTGTGTTTACCTAGTTTAAACCTTATTTAAATAGACTCTTGATGCACACACTTTCCACAAACACCTGCTTCTCCCATTGCAGAGCTGACTTGTACAAGGCAGTTGTATTCAGTCATTTTCTGACCTAAAGCCATCCTACACACCATTAAGCAGTAACTCAGTCATGAAAATCCTTGTTACTGACTCACCCCCAAATCAGAGCAAAGCGCAAATAGGTGAGTAGGATGGTCAGCAAATTTAGCTTTGCCTCATAGTATTCATTAGCCTCTGGCTACTCCTGTGGCTCAGAGTCATTACCATTAACAGAGGGTACCATTCATTTCACTTCCTGCAAAAAGGAGAACTACTACAGAAGTATCTGCTCTGAATTTTACCTATGCATCATGCTTACTGGAACAGTCTGAAGACTCAAACAGTCACAGCAAGACTCAGGGAAATCCAATCCTCATTAGCTTCATGGAGAAATGGGCTTATAATTAATTCATATTTCCAGCCATTTTTGGTTATGAAAACTCTCTGCCCAAGTTAATTGTTCTACTGAGCTCAAGGACCTCTTAACTTGGAAATGCTCTGGAAAGGGGAGATGCTAAGTTATGACTTGACGTCAAAAAGAAGCTCCCTTTTGTTGACCTAAAGCCATAACAGAACTAACATAATCAAATGTAACCATGATTTCAATGTCCAGACACACTTTGTAGACGTTCAACATACTTTAAAGAGCAGTTACATTTAAGTTTTGGTGACACTGGCCCCAGATCCAAATACGTATTAATATTAAGCATCAGTTCTTAAATAACCTTTGAAGATGTAGTTTTATTTCAATTTTGTATGCATGGACAAAGCTTACTAGTCACTGTTTGCATCTGGTTGTAATTCAGGACACAGTTGCTTTTCCTAAGCACTGGAAATACGAGACGCTACAAGCATTCAGCTGTTAAACCTGTCTTGGACTAACCTATACAACAGCCAAGATGCCAGAACCTCCATTTTTCCTATCTGTTTTTCAGGCAACCACTATCAATAATAATTAACACATATGCAGCATATAAAAAGTGTAAAATTATTGGATCTGTGCACACATGCTGTTTGTTTTCAAGTTATTAAACAGCTTCTATAAATCTACATAAAATTGCTGCGGAACTTAAAGAGCAGCAGGATCATTCCACATAGTTAAGGGCCGTAGGTCTGAATTAAGCAAGTTGGACTGGAGAAGCAAAAAGTTGCTCGTAGCGTCATCACAGCACTGCTTGTGCCGAGCCACAGCATCTTCTCTAGATGTTGCCTTCAAGAGCCCATTTAGACGTTGCAATGGGATGGGAGACCAGAAGTTAGTTGCAGGCAAGGATTTACTATTTTTGGTAATCAAATAAATCATGTTATGTAATTTACTTACTCAGGAGGAGCAACACTTTGAAATGAGAGCCTTTAGCTGCTGGAGGCATAGGGTGCCTTTATACCCTTGTCCAGGGTATTTCAGCACCACAGTCATGACAGAGTTAATACCCACTAGCTCAGAGGAGAACAAAAGGTACTCCACTGCAACATGCCTAACATTTACATTGCCTCTCTTTGCTCATTAAACAGGTTTTGGTTAAATAATGAACAAACTGTATTACAGACTCCGATGAGAATTCCAAAATTATAAATCAACTGGTAAAGCCCAGAGGAGAATGAAGGGAGTGGGAGGGAAGGAAGGATAATATTGACTAATATAAAGGGCGCAGCTTGACAGTGGATATTCCTGCCACACCTGATCAAACATGCTCCATGGGGGAGGGGAAGGGAGGGCGAGAGCAAGGGGGGAGATGGGACAAGGCAGCCTGAAATTTGCATCCGGAACAGATTAAAACGGGTTCTTGGGGGATTGAGAAAATACATAATATATATTACTATAAATGCAAAACTGTACTAAAAGCTAACTCAAATGTCAAAGATTACAGCTTGAATAAATTTAAATATAAAAGCAATGCGTTTCCATGAGCTAATGAAAGAGACATGAACGGAAGGTCTAGGCAAAAAAACTAAGCTTGGCTTTTCATTGCCTGGAAGATGAGACAGGAGACTCTATACCATTCAAAGTATTGCTTGGGAACCATTCCACGTCTAAAACTGGTAAAAATGGAGCATAGCAATCATGTCCTATCTCAAGACATCAGTCAGTAAATAGCAATCACTGAAGCTGAAATAACCTGCATAGAAGAACCCCATGTAGTCAAACCAATGTGCTGTCATCATCATATATAAACAATTATTAGTTCACCATAAACCACACATACCAGATGCCTCTACTACTCAGAGAGTCTCCAAATCACTCAGTACATGAAACTTGGCTTTCTCTTACATGAGCAGATAGCTAGTTTGCAATTTTTCCAGACAAGTCAACAGCAGATCATATCAAGGTACTTTTCAGTCCCTGCCATTTACTCATATCGCATTTATTCGAGCATCGTGACATTCCCACTTCTTGTTGATGAAAAACATATTAGCAATAATGGCAAAGAACAACTTCAGGAGTCCCACCTCAAAGAAAATTTTACCATGTTGAAAGGAGAGATTAGACCCAGGAAGCATTTCCTCCTAAAACACTTTTAGTGACTGTGTTCCTATCCTACAGGAGATGAGCGAGCTTACAAAAACCATAAATCCAGTCTGTCACGTATTTTGGGGACAAGCTTAACATCCTGAACAAGATAATGTCCAGAAATGCAAACTATGCAGAAATTCTCATATCATGTCTTAGGGACATCTTGGATTTCTTTTTCCATGGAAAGTTTATCAAGTAAAGAAAGATAAGGCACTACACTTACAGGCAACCACAGAAGAGGAAGGAACAACAGGTTAGAGCTGGCACGTGTTCTCAGAAACTCTCAACCCCAAGAAGCAGCACTACTGTAGTTTTACTGAAGGTACTTTTTAAGGGATGCCAGGCTCAGCTCTGACACAGAAAGAGGCATGGTCCACAAGCAGAAATGCAAAAAGTCCATCTCAAACTTAGGATGAGTGCAATTCTGAATACTAACTGTAATAAAGGGACCAAAATAAGGGCCTACTTTCAAATAAGTCATCAATAAGATGACAAATCCTGTGATGAACCAGCAGAATGCCACATGCAGCTCAGGATCAGCCTTCCAGATTCCTAAATGTGTATTTGGGTTAAACAACCACTCCCGAAACTACCAACAGAGAAAATCTGGGGGGAAAGGGGGAAAAGGGTGGGGTGGGGGG